TACGGCACTTAATTGGATCACTGATGTATACAAACATACAATGAACTTGTTACAAACATTCCTAATTGTAAATTTCAATATAATTTATCAACCCCCGTAAGGTTATTAAATTATATTGCTAGTTTCTTTGCTTAAAATCAGATAGAAAAAGATTAAAATTTCAAATACAGGGTAATTAGAAAGTCACTATGCACTGGTACAGAGAAAGTTACAACACTACGCATTAAACTTTAACGTGTAAATTAGATACAAATGCCCCTAAATCACAAAAGAAATTGTTTTGTATCGGATTTTTCAATCTGGAACGGTTTGTAACCTTTCAAACGTACGTGACAATCTTTTTGTCACTGATATCTTTTTCGTATCTAACTAATACATATCAAGGCCAGCAGGTGTCGAGTAGAAATTGGTTAAGGTCTCTTAAGTAAGGCTCATGACACTTTAATATGTCGTATTTCATCACCGTATTATTAGACTACAAAGTTTCGGTTTATGAATTGAGTTGGCCTTTGACATCTTTTGCAATTCATCGCCACAACGTTAGCAAGTCTGTCAGGCACTTTGCAGTGTCTACTTAGAAGGAGAATTCAAACTTCGAAGGATATTTCAAGGAAAGGCATACATTTATTTTGTACTAAAACTTGGAAAATGTTTCGATGAAACGTGTACAATGAACCGTGACCTATAAGTCTACCTAGCGTTGCACGTTTAACAAGATTTAATAGTAAAAAAATGGCAGGTAACGAACTGTTTATAACTAAAAATATAGCCCGAGTAAGTTAAATACGACGAAAAACTTTATCACATATCAGAAAAAAACCGATCGTGAGCATTAAAATTTGAATAAATCCTTTGTATTTTTCAAATGCCAAAACAGTATGCATTCAAATGCAATTAATTGTATTCGAGATAGGAAGAAAGATCTAAATAACATAGATCATTAGTTGAGGAAAAATGGTAGACATAGTCAATTACATTCCTTCCGGATATCAAAATATCGCGTGACATGATCATCTATGATTGTCTGTTGCGGAAAATAAATAAAATAATGGCTACAAAAAGTTTTCATCAACACTAAAGGCAGTTTTTATGAACTATCAGCATTCAAATTACATTGTAATGACACTTCTCGAAACGCTTTTGACTACGCTAGGATACTCCTTAATTTACTTCCTGAAGCACAAGTAAATTTTTTTCTTGTATAAATGATACAACATGACGATCTCTAACGTAATTAACAAGAGAATTACATTAATCTCAATTAAATTATTTTCCAAAATAGGCAAGAAAATCAATTAACTTAAACAAACATTATAAGCCATTCATTGCTAGTCCAGATTTATTATGAATGGAGTTTAAACATAACTTAATTCCATTTAATCCTGATCCCAATTAGTATTTGTTATTATACAAAACTTGATTTAATTCAAGAAAATCGAAAAGATTCGCCATGTTTAATAAGTGAATTAGAGAATTGATTACAGAAAACAGGAAGTTAATTCACAAAAATTTAAGTCCTTCTCTAATAGTAGGACAACGAGAAAAAAAAAAAAAGATATAAAGAAAACTGGTCAAGTTACATGAAAAACCAGAAGTGCAAGATGACTTTAGCTGATACAATGAGGATAAAATTGTAAAAATACACACATATATATATATATTCGGAAGTTTACATATATATATATATATATAAACAGATGAAAAACTTAAATAAATTAATATTTTAATATAATAAATCAATCTTTCTGTCCTTGAATTCTAAAAGGTTTTTCCAATTTTGAATTTTGTAACGAAGGCTATCACGAAATCAAAACTATTTTCAACCTTGCAAATTAGTTGTAAATAATTATTCAAATACCGTTTAAATCTGATGCTTTCGGGAAGAAATTCAATAGAATATTCATGTTCCAAGAGGAATACATCATGAGTATTTACTAATGAAAGCATCAATTAATTGATATCCTATCGATAGTTTAGTTTTAGGGCATCACATTTTTATATGTCTTATTGTTTAGTGAAAAGAAAGAGATTCTTACAACTTATTACTTAATTACAGGCCAGTCTTTACCTAACATTTCCTTATAAAATAATTGAACGAAAGCACAAATAATAAATTTTTCGATCTGATAGAGTTGAATAAATCTATAATATTATTCCACCCCAAAATAAATCAGAGCATGTAACACAATTGATCATTTAAAGATCTTCGATTTAACGTTGGCTTCTCTAGAAATTTAAGTTTCTAGAAGTATCGTATGTCTAAAATGATTGGTCCTTAATTTACATCACAAGAATTTCTTGAAAATCTGACAGCTTCAAAGCGCGATTTCATCACAATGCTATTAAAATTGTATGTTTTTTTTTTTTTTTTTAAATTCTTTCCACCCTGTGGGCACTATGAGGGCCTCTTTTAGCAAGCCAATTATGTGTTCGACCAGACACACAACGTGACGACCGGGTGGTGAGGGAGAAGGCCCGAATATCTGGGGATTTATCGACCCGTTCAGATTCGAACCCGGGTCCCTCAGAGATGTAGATTGTCATCCGGTCGTCAAGAAAAATTATAAAGGTTATAAATGTTACAGTTTGTTATTTGTATTGAAAAAAAGCCGGCAAAGTTGTTGAACTTTCCCCGCATTTCATTCCTAATAATCCACACCATTACCTTTATAAATCTTCAGATTGATTCGTGAGATATTAAGGGGTTGGGGTCATATCTCCCGAACGAACAGTCCGATTTCTCTGAAATATTCCAGAAACATTTAATACACAAAACCTCCCTGAAAAATTCCAGAAATTTTCAACAAAAGCTCAATCCAGAACCTTCAAAATAGGTGTAAAAATTATGTCTTTCGCATACACACAAACACTGACACATACAGGGGGGGGGGAAACCGCCCAACTGTTTTGTATTTCTCGAGTTTCAAGGTGTTATTTTTTTTTTACCATCGCCATAATTCCCCTCTGTTATATAACAACTGGAAAAGTAAAAATGAATGGGGGAATTAATAATTCTCGATTTTATTATTTATAGAACTTTATGTCTATAATTGTTGCAAATTATAATTTAAATGTTATAAATAATACTTTTCTATAAATTTTCCTCATCACATTTTAAGTGTGTGTGTGTGTGTTTGTGTGGAGAAGAAGATTTATAGAGCATTCTTATTTTATGCCATTTAAAAACGCATACAACAGGCTTTTACACATTTTCTTGAAACACAAGTACAAAATAATTAATCTAATTCACATTAAAAAGAAGAATAAAGAGTCACCAAATTATGTCGACTTTAACTAACATTTTTATTTCCAGATAAACAATGGCAGATTGAAACATTTCTAGAGCATTCATTACGAGAGATTTACACTTCCGACTGCCGTTAATTATACTTAATTCTCTAGAATACTTTTGTATTTTCTAGAGCGGTAATGTATAATTAAATATAATTTCCACGTAACGCTTACAATACTCGACAATTGTCAAAAAAAAAAACCTTACAGAAATGCGACAGACAAGAGGCAAAAACACTTGAAATTTTCAAGAACTTTTCGTATAATCTATAACATTTACTGAACTACAAGTCGACCTCCCTATAACACTGTTGATTATTCTGTTTTATATGAATTTTGTGTTGTACGAGTCACTTAGATTTTACAAATAAGTGTGCGGGGCTGTGAACGGCTCACGTATTTGTAAAATCTCGGTGACTCGTACAACGTGGAATTCATATAAAACGGAATAATCAACAGTGTTATAGGGGGGTTGACTGAGTCGACCTACCTATAACACTGTTGATTATTCTGTTTTATATGAATTTTGTGTTGTACGAGTCACTTAGATTTTACAAATATGTGTGCAGGGCTGTGAACAGCTCGCGTATTTGTAAAATCTCGGTGACTCGTACAACGTGGAATTCACATAAAACGGAATTATCAACAGTGTTATGGGGGGTCGACTGTATTTCTAGAATCGTATCTGATCCATTAGAGACTGAAGTTAATTAATCAAAGCGGTGTTATCTATCGAAGTAAAGAGCTGTAATCTAAAAATAGTCTTTAATAATGTAAAAAACGACCGAATTTATTAGAAAATTTTACAAATTTCCAACTATTTTAGGGCACAAAATTAGGATTAAGAATGGCATTATTTTTAAGGCTCGATAGGCAGAAATAGTAGAAGGAATCCTTAATAATAATAAACGTTGGAAGTTCTATTTCCTGGTAATTCTTTAAATTTAGAGACCAAAAAAAAAAAAATGGCTGAATATCTCATTGTTTGCTAAAACACTAATGAGTTATATTTTAACCTTCAAATTTGGAGCAGGTTAATTTAAAGCATACTTTTTTCATAGAAGGCATAGATTATACGCCTTTCCTCTTAAGTTTTTCCAAGGAGGGATGAGATTTTCGTTGCTATTTTAATCGATTTTATCATCCGGGAGGAGACCGAACTCGAGAAATAACTGTGCAATTGTGACGTAGACGATCGACGTAACGATGCAACAGGTAAGATTCCCATGAGTCAAAGAAAATGACTCACCCTCCTCGAGAGAAAACGACTCGTTTAATTAAGACAACTGACGTGTGCGGCGCCAATTGTTTTTGATTATTATGTAGTTTTCTGTACCGTAAACGAATCGGAAGGGAAAAATAGGTTAGGGAATTTTTTGTCAGATTTAAAGACAACATCTGCAAAAAAAAAAAGGTTTCGGAGTTACGTCCGTAAACCGGAAATACGATCGGGTACCGGTTTCGTCACGAGAATTTTCGGAATTGTCAGCGTTACCCTACGCTTCCGTAATAGTACGAAGACATAAGTTCACCCTTTAGGGAAATTTTCGAACATAATCGTAACGAAAGGGAAATTTAATTCACTACGAATTTTTCTACAAGTTTAAAAAAAATACACCTCAAACAAACATATTTTAATATACAAAATAAATAAACTGCCTTAGTTCAAATTTCGTAATTTATACGTAAAGAAAATAGTTTAGTACGGATTATTCAAAAGCTAGTTGGAATTAGGGAAATTGCGTAAGAGAATAGGGAAATTTTCACTCGGTTAGGGAAAAAAACGTCACTGCCAGGAAATCAAGTGAAGGCAATAAACAGTGACAACATCGAGTCTGTTCATTTTGAATCGTGACGGCTTCGAGTGAGGAGCAAACCCAAGAGAGAAGAACAATATGCCGACTGTTATATTGGAACGATTGCCACTCCCCAGCTTACAAGTATACACGACTGTTAGTGTCGTTTTACTCTCGTGTTCCGTATATTACGCCCTGCAAATAACGTCGGAGATGGAGTGGAAGTTTCAGAATGACAACCCCGTATCAGAAGTAAATATTACAAAAACGGATGTGTCAATAGACGGATTGATTGGCGACTTTGTCGTGTTAAAAAGACTGAACGATGCCGTGTATTTTATGCTCCAGGAACCCCTCTGTATCTGGGTAAGTATTTTTCTCACCCTTTTAGTTTACTTTCTAACATATTTTACTTTCTCTACAGTACATTTTGTGAACAGTACAATTGTCATTTCAGTCTTGTAAAAGGGGTGATGTGTTACTTCTCTTGAAAGAGGTGACTTTAGATTTGATAGTTCTCTTATGGATGTGGGCATGCTGGCAATATGGTGGCCGGTTATCCAGATTCGAAGCTCTAAATACATTTGGACCGGATGTAAATGCAGCTCCGAACGAGGCGGTCGGGACATTATAATTGTGGGCCGTGCCCCATGGGAGTAAAAAAAGTCAAAGGAACCGATGGTTTGCGTGTGACCCTTTACCGGACGGCAGTGTAGTATATAGCCTAGTGCAGGGATGGCAAACCTTTTTGAGCCACGTGCCATATAGTAAGCATACTTAGTTTTAAAGGTGTTTACGTGCGCCAAAGTTTTAAAGAAATTAAATGAATATGCTTTAATTAAAAATAAATGTAAAAAGGCTGATTGGGTGATAAACCAAAAGGATGATTGAAATGGACGGGTGGTAAATCAAAACTGTATATATGTTATGTGCCAGATGATTTCTCCTTACGTGCCACAGGTTCGCTACCCTGGCCTATAGACGTACTCTGAAAGTACTTGGTGTGATGGTGTTGCTCGTGTTTTATGAACTTTTAGCCACTTGATATCAGAACCATTTCTAAAACAATGGTAAAACATTGTTTTAGAAATGGTTCTGAAAATTTCACTTTTAAATTTTATCCTATTTTTGAGTGTCTTCAAAACTAGACAGGCCAATTTTGGGAGGCTGTATCTGACAAAGGGCTGCATGTAGATTGTCAGTTTTTTTTGACTTTTTACTCCTGTGGGCTAAGGCTCTGATAAGGACCGACTGCATCTTTCGGAGCTGCAATTTTACTGGTGGCTAGATAGTGAGATTTGAAGTACATTCGAACTGAAAAATTATGATGCCTTAAACTAGTCAAACCCAAGATCTTCTGACAGACAATTTGGCCATCTGATATAGATAAACATAGGTTCTTGCACATGGCTTCATTCTTTTAGAGGTCTTGGACATTTGCTTGTTGATACTTTGGTCTTTGTGTGGAATTTGGATTTTAGATTTGTACGATAACAAGTATTGCGTGACACAGATTTTATATCGTATAAAGTTATATAAAAGTTATCTTATAAGTACGGTACATGCTTGTCTATAGCTTTATGCAATTTAAAACTACTACTTTGCCACGTTAGCTAGATGATCAACAAATTCTTCAAAAACAGAAATATTTATTGTTCGACTTCACTGTCGACTAACGTGGAAATTTCTCAACTGTCGATAAAGTAAATTATACACTAATTATTGATTTAATCTTTGAAAAATCTTTGATGAAATGTTAGTAAAGAATGCCATAATGAGAAAATAAGAACAGAAAATGCTACTGCAATCCTTTATGCCTTTTGGCTTGTGATGATAGAATTTTATCAAATAATTGCAATGGCTAAACATTACAGTAAGCCTATTATAAGAGCTAAAATTGATAATATTTTGACAAGCTAGTTATTAAAAGTTCTTCTATACTCTCGTTGAATGTTATGTAATACAGAACACACAACCGAAAAATTACAAACTAGTTATGATGTATGTATGCATACTTTGTTAAAACTATTAAGAAAAAAAATGCAAATCGGGCAACATTTTTGTGCAATCTTACATTGTATCTTGTATGCTTGGGCTTTTTATATACACTGATTACATAAGAGAATATAGAAGGACCAAAATCTATGGGACAGAATTGATCTATTATTTGCAGACGATAAGATCCTTACTTCTATTATATATTGTAAGGTTAGTGTTTTTGGAGTTTTTAAAACAGATTATTTAGAATTAAATGGATTCCTTTTTATGATGATTTACATAGTGATATCAGATAACAAGAACATGCATGTGTAATGTACTTATACTTATGCAATTACAAAGAAGGAAACTGGAGTTACCTATAATTTTGATAGTCATTGAAGTAAACAAACATAAAGAAATTTTCTTTAATTAGATATACATACAGTTTTTATTGTATGAAATATCATCAAATGGTTCAGACTTTTTGAGAGGAGTTCATATCTATCAAGTAATAACACCCGTACCTTAATAACATCAGTCTGCCAATTTTTATTGAGTACATTAAGGGTGATCAATAATCTGAAACAAAGCAATTTTATTTCAGATTACTAGTGGTAGGTTTGTCTATAAACTTTAAAAATTTTCAATTGTACGGCAACGATAAATAAATAATATCTTTAATCTATTTTAATTTACTTTTTCAAAATTAAATTGATAGTAAATGTAGATATTATTATTGATTTGTAATAAAGTCTCATTTAATTTGAGATTCTTTTAATCCAATAAAAAACTCTGATACCGGACTGTCCCGTAAATTCTGCTTTATAATCGATTTCTATCCAAACAAGAGATGCTCTTGTGCGAACATATTGAAAGTTAAATGGCACATGGCATAGATACTCCTATAATTGGAATATGTTATGTGAATTCCACATGTTATAATCCCTTTGATAATGTGTGACAATAAGATTGCTGTTTGGGTGCTGCTGCTTTTTTTCTGCAAAAGAATCTATCTGCTAGCAACAGTGGAAGAAATTTGTATGGTAGAAGAACAAGAAGCTGTTAATTGCTGCTACAGCAAGGTATTTCAAATCTTTTAACACTAATGATACCAGCTGTGTGGATAAATCACGCTCTGGAAATCAACATCTTTCAATGTGGTAAGAATTCTGGATGCTATTCGGGAAACTCAAGTGCGAATACTTGCACACTGGTGTCTACTGTTGATATGTTGCAGTTTACTTTCCAGTTTCACTTAAAAACAATGTCCTAGATCTGTATATACCACAGATAAAGTCAGACAAGATTCTCATGAACTTACTGAAATTCGGGTAAAACAATGTGTTTTTTTCTGCCGACGCCACTTCCAAAATCCTACTGATGAGAAATGTGTGTAATCCATACACCCAAAAACAGCAAGTTGTACCAGGTCTGGAGACTACTGTGCACAAAACAGGTAAGATTTGCCGAGAATGTTACGCAGTGCATTTACAATTTTCAAGGTATAATTTGTTTAATAATCTGAAACAGTGTCGTTATTCTTTTCCATTATTCAAACACTATGTAGTGTAATTAATTGTAATGTAATTTTAAAATTACAATTACAAAGGGACATGTGATCGACGAAGAACTTTATAGTACCCAATTAGAACCTGTCTATGCTGTATTGCAACAGAGATACTTTAGGTCAGCTGAAAGCAAGTTTTGTTGCAGCGTGACAATGCTCCAGGCTAAGAACTGGATTGTTTTACTATGTTGCCCCACCCAGCATGTAGCTCAGACATATACCTTCTGATTATGAGGTTCTGGAGTTTAGAACATTTTATGCAAGGCGGTATGATACAGTAGCAGATATTAACAGGATGTGCTGAAAGTTTTGCCACCAAGGACTGATATTGTAGGTAATCACTATACTAACTGCCAGATGATTGAAGGTTATTTTTTGCAGAATAAAGTTTGTTCTGTATTCATGAACACTAACTTTAACTTTGTAACAGAATTTATGAGACAACCCTATACAAGTGAATTTTACATAGTTATGTAGTCAAAACCAGATGATCTACTGAATTATTGGGTTATAATAAAGCTAAGTTAATAATTACCTGATAATTTGGCAGATTGTCTAGTGTTAATTATAGCTTTTCAGGTTAGTGGAGTTGTTTAGTTATATAGTCATTAGTGGGTGTAAAATATTAAATTTGAATAAACAATATTTCATATTTATTTCTTACTTATATCAAATTCAGTTAACTGCTCTATAAATTATAACGTTATCAATTCTGTAGATGAACTGAGGAATTCTGTAGATGAACTGAGGAATTCTATAGATGAACTGAGGAATTCTACAGATAATGATACAGGAAAATTTATTTAGAATTTTACAACAGTAGTAATTTTTCTTTCTATACAATATAGCCTATCACAGGAATATATTTAGGTATTTCTGTAGTGGTGAACCACAATTACTTGTACTGTTCATTCATAATTTGGAAAATCATTTATGAAAGGATTTTAATTACAAGACAAAGGATTATTTTTGTCAAATAGCGGCACAATTTTCTTCATTAAAGTGTGAACTCTACAATAAGGATTATGGCCGAAAAAAGAATGCGGCTCTTATATTTACTGAGAATTTCACAAATAATGCATTTATTTGTGACTACATAATCCTATGTAAAATAAATGTAAAAAAGTATCTAATTATTACATAATATCTAATGACATAATTGCAATTAGCTAAAAATAAACATCAGATTTCTCACAAGAATGCTTAAATGGGATATAAAACTGCTTGAGTATCCATTAAGTTAATGATTCAATTGTTTTAGAAAATGGCAAGGTCATTGCCATTTTTTGGCTAGCTTCCATTTTATACATTTAAAGAAAGTTTATCAATTAGTAGAAATTGCCGCTCTGAGCAGTTATTTATTTTTTTAAGTTTAGATTTGGTTTGACTGCTGCTTTCCTTTTTAAAACGTATATAATAATGTAATTATAAATTACATAATATTTAGGTTATACAAGGTCTTCCAAAAAGAATGCTAACATTTTAAATTATTATAATAATGATAATTATTATCCGAGAATATTGTAATGGACAGTTTTCTATAGTTTTAATGTACAAGTTTCTCATTTGCCCATTACGTTTTTTCAGCAAGTGCACCTTGTGTCTTGTGGCACACGTCTAACTGATAATGAAATTCTTTGTAAACTTCCAAAAAGAACATTCTTCCTAAGCTTGCTTTAGCATATTCATTGTCACTCCTCTCGCAGCAGACAATTCTATAGTGCCGGCAGATTACTCATGTTGCACAATGACGATTGATTCTGATTTTGAAAATTGCAGTATACAAAATGCTTCTCTATTGTGGAGTAGCCAATTTTGT